AATTCTGGGAAGATTCAGGAAGTCACTCTAGGATGGGGGAAATGGGAAAATAATGGGAAAAAATGGGAAAAAATGGGGGAAAATGGGGAAAAAATGGGGAAAAATGGGGAATAAATGGGAAAAAATGAGGGGAAAATGTGGAGAAATGAGGGAAAAATGAAGGGAAAATTGGGAGGAAATGGGAAAAATGGGAAGAAATGGGAAAAAATGGGGAAAAATTGGAAAAAATGGGGAAAAAATGGGGGAAAATGGGAAAAAATGGGGAAAAATGGGGAAAAAATGGGAAAAAATGAGGGGAAAATATGGAGAAATGAGGGAAAAATGAAGGGAAAATTGGGAGGAATTGGGAAAAATGGGAAGAAATGGGAAAAAATGGGGGAAATGGGAAAATAATGGGAAAAAATGGGAAAAAATGGGGAAAAATGGGAAAAAAATGGGGAAAAATGGGGGAAAATATGGAGAAATGAGGGAAAAATGGGGGGAAAATTGGGAGAAAATGGGAAAAATGGGAAGAAATGAGAAAAAATGGGGAAAATGGGAAAAAAATGGGGGAAAATGTGGAAAAAATGGGGGAAAATGGGAAAAAAATGTGGAAAAATGGGGAATAAATGGGAAAAAATGGGGGAAAATATGGAGAAATGAGGGAAAAATGAAGGGAAAATTGGGAGAAAATGGGAAAAATGGGAAGAAATGGGAAAAAATTGGAAAATGGGAAAATAATGGGAAAAAATGGGAAAAAATGGGGAAAAATGGGGAAAAAATGGGAAAAAATGAGGGGAAAATGTGGAGAAATGAGGGAAAAATGAAGGGAAAATTGGGAGGAAATGGGAAAAATGGGAAGAAATGGGAAAAAATGGGGAAAAATGGGAAAAAAATGGGGAAAAATGGGGAAAAAATGGGAAAAATGGGAAAAAATGGGGAAAAATGGGGAATAAATGGGAAAAAATGAGGGGAAAATATGGAGAAATGAGGGAAAAATGGGGGGAAAATTGGGAGGAAATGGGAAAAAATGGGGGGAAATGGGAAAATAATGGGGAAAAATGGGGAAAAAATGGGGGAAAATGGGGAAAAAATGGGGAAAATGGGGAAAAATGGGGAAAAAATGAGGGGAAAATGTGGAGAAATGAGGGAAAAATGGGAAAAATGGGGGGAAATTGAGAGAAAATGGGAAAAATGGGAAGAAATTGAAAAAATAGGGGGAAAATGGGAAAAATAGGGGGAAATGGGGAGAAAATTGGGAAAAATGGAGGGAAAATCAGGAGAAAATGGGAAGAAATGGAAAAAATTGGGGGGAGTTCAGAACAAATGAGGGGAAAATGGGAATAAAATATGGGAAAAGTGGGAGAAAATAGGGAAAAATTGGGAAAATTGGGGGGAAATCGTGTTTGGAATGGTGGGAATGGGTAATGGGAATGTTGGGATTTGAGGAGGGAAAAGAAAAGCAGGAAAAAAAAAAGGAGGAAGGAAGAAAAAACTTGGGAAAAATCCTGGGAAAGGAAAAAAAAAAATAAAAAAAAAGATGAAAAAAATGGAAGAGGGAAGAAAAAATTCTGGAAAAATGATGGAAAAGGGAAAGGAGTGAGGAGAAAGTTTGGAAAAGCTGCTGCTCGAGGATTCCCGGGATTCTGATCCGGAATTCCAAACATTCCCGGGGTTTGTCCTTTCCCTCCTCATCCTCCCCCTGGATTTGGGATGTTGGGAATTTCCTTCCCATTCCCAGGGAATTCCTCAGCTCCTCCCTCTGGAATTTCTCCTCTCTAGGGGTTAATTCCTCCCAAAATTCCACAGGAATTTTGGGATTTACTCCGAGATTCCCCAAAGGTTTCCCGGATCCTCTGGAAAAGATTCCGGCACCTCCGGATTTGGGAATCCCTCCCTTCCCTCTGGAATTCCGGGGCTTTTCCAAACCCTTTTCCAGGGAAAATTCCTCGTGCTGGAGCAGTTTGGGAATTTGAATTCCTTTATCCCGAGGGGAAAAAAAAGCAGGAATGTTCTAATCCCAAAATTCTGAATTCCAGGGGTGATTCCTTCCCATGGATTCCGGGATTTTCCTTCCCTGAGGATTCCCAGGATTTATCTCAGCCTGGAATGGGATCAAAGAGAATCCTGGGATTCCCTGAGCGATTCCAGAGGAAATCCAGGGATTCCCTGGTGGGAAAATCCTGGGATTCCTTCAAAGAAAATCCAGGAATTCCCTCAGCAATTCCAGAGGAAATCCAGGAATTCCCTCCTGGAAAATCCCAGGATTCCCAGGATTCCTTTGAGGAAAATCCCAGGATTCCCTCAGCAATTCCAGAGGAAATCCAGGAATTCCCTCTTGGGAAAATCCCAGGATTCCTTCAAAGAAAATCCCAGGATTCCCTCAGCAATTCCAGAGGAAATCCAGGAATTCCCTCACGGGAAAATCCCAGGATTCCATCACAGAAAATCCCGGGATTCCCTCAACAATTCCAGAGGAAATCCAGGAATTCCATCATGGGAAAACCCCAGGATTCCTTCACAGAAAATCCCAGGATTCCCTCAACAATTCCATAGGAAATCCCAGAATTCCCTCATGGGAAAACCCCAGGATTCCTTCAAAGAAAATCCAGGAATTCCCTCAACAATTCCAGAGAAAATCCAGGAATTCCCTCAGCAATTCCAGAGGAAATCCAGGAATTCCCTCCCAGGAAAACCCCAGGATTCCTTTGAGGAAATTCCCAGGATTCCCTCAGCAATTCCAGAGGAAATCCAGGGATTCCCTCGTGGGAAAATCCCAGGATTCCTTCAAAGAAAATCCCGGGATTCCCTTGACAATTCCAGAGAAAATCCAGGAATTCCCTCCCAGGAATACCCCAGGATTCCTTTGAGGAAAATCCCAGGATTCCCCTCAGCAATTCTGGAGAATTCTGGGATTCCTTCACAGAAAATCCAGGAATTCCCTCAGCAATTCCAGAGGAAATCCAGGAATTCTCTCACAGGAAAATCCCAGGATTCCATCAAAGAAAATCCAGGAATTCCCTCCTGGAAAATCCTGGGATTCCTTTGAGGAAAATCCCAGGATTCCCTCAGCAATTCTGGAGAATTCTGGGATTCCTACACAGAAAATCCAGGAATTCCCTCAACAATTCCAGAGGAAATCCAGGAATTCCCTCACAGGAAAATCCCGGGATTCCTTCAGCAATTCCATAGGAAATCCCGGAATTCCATCATGGGAAAATCCC